CCTGCCCCCCACCCCGGGGCCTGGCACCACGGCAGGAGCTGATGGGAAGGAGAGAGCAGGATGAACCCCAGCCCTTGCTGGCTGCTCCTGCTCCCCCCGGGCACCCCGAGGCTGATCTGGAGCAGAGCATCCCAAGGAATTGCTCCACAGACCTGCCCGGGCAGGGTCCTGCCCTCAGCACCGTCCCCGAGGAACCCAGGAGAACGGGGAGCGCTCCAGCAGACCCCACCACGCCAAGGAAATCCATGGTGCCCGGGCTGGCCGAGACCCCAGGAACAGACAGACCCTCCTGCTCCTGGCCGTGCTTACTAAGGAGATTTATTGACTTGCACGGGGGGTACCGGTCCCAGCTCCCCCCACAAGCAGTCAGGGTGGCAGGACAAGGTCCAGGCAGGCAGAGCAGGGCACCAGCCAGCCCCTTACCCCACAGCCAGGGCAGCTGGAGGTGGCACGGGGACAGGGGGAGGCATTGATGACACCAGGAAAGGCAGGAGGCACCCAGGCAAGGGGGACAAAATCCCCAAGGGGGGTGTGTGGCTAGGACCCAAATTTTGAGGGCAAAGCCAGGACACTTGGCACAGGCGTCACCGTCGAGCCAGCCCTGAGCACAGCCAATGTGACATAATGCCAGCTGGGTCCCTGGCAGGCATTTTCTGGGCCCCACTCCCACCCCCTTTATAAAGCCCTGCGTCCCACTGCTCGGCACCCCCCATTCTGCCCCTCGCCCCCGTGCTCAGGCCTCAGCGGGCAGCGGGGGCACCGATGCCAGGGCAGACAGGAGGCGGGCGTAGATGTCGATGCCCCGCAGGAAGACTTGCTCGTTGAGGAACTCGTTGTGGTCGTGGAGCAGCACCGGGGTGCGGTTCATGGGTGAGAAGCCGATAGCGGGGTGTCCTGCCTGGGGATGCCAGGGGGAGAAAAGGGGTGAGGTCGGGGTTGGGATGGGCACCGTGTGCCCCCTCCACCCGGGCATGGCTCCTGCTTGGGGCTGCAGGTCTCAGCCCAGGTGAGGGACCCATGGGTGGGCTGGCATCACACTCACCGCTCGGATGTAGCGGCTGTCGGTGGCAGCTGGGAAGATCTCAAGCTTGATCTGCAGTTTCCTGACAAGTGAGACCCTGTGTCAGCATGGGCACGGGGGCAGACAGGTCCCCTGTCCCCCTGTCACCCCACAGGCAAAGACACCATGCCAGGAAGGTCCCTGAGCCCTGCAGGACACTCAGTCTTGTCTGTTTTGAGGGGGCACGGGGAGATGCCCTGCCATGGCATAGAATATCTCCTCCCAACCCCTGCCATGACCCCAGGGACCCCCAGGGACCCCTCGCTTGCCACCAGAGGATGCCCCCGCCATAGTCCTAACCTTCCTGGGGACACTACTCACATGTCCCTGCAGACCCCGCTGAAGGCTTTCCACCACGGGTCTGACTCCTCAGTGGAGCTGACGTGTTGGTCCATGCATTTCTGACGGGGGGGAGAGGGCAGGTGAGGGGCAGGGGGGTGGGCACGGGGCAGGGGAGGGACGGGCACGATGAGCCCAGGAGGCTGAGACCCCCTCACCTGGATAAACTCATAGGTGACGCCGTCCCCGGCACTCTGGCACCACGCGGCCACCTGCTCCTCGAAGGCCTGCAGCAGAGAGCAGAGGAGGGCTGGGAGCAGGGTACCCCCCAGCCCGCTCCCCTCCCGGGTGGGGTTGGTGGGGCGCCCACCTTCAGGTCCACGGTGGGTGGGATGCGGATGTCGAAGCCAGCCGCCATCTCAGAGGGCACCACGTTGAAGCAGACGCCCCCCTCCAGCATGGTCAGGTTGAGCGAGGTGACGTCCCCTAGGGTCAGGCTTGAGTCGGACTTGAGCCTCGGAGGACGCAAGGGAGAGTCACCCTCCGCCACTCGGGGAGGAGGAGAAACGTTCCCCCCCCCTGCCGCCACCCCCAAATGGGGAAACTGAGGCACAGGGAGGTGGTGCCGGATCAGAGCCTGGTTTGGGATCCCAAGGAACCCCTCCACGGACCGAACTGAAGCCACCACCATCCTGCTGCGCATCTCCTACCTCTGCTTCTCGCTCTCCCTGAAGGCCAGGAAGGAGTTGATGACTTTGTGCTGGGGAGAAAAGGGCAGGGGGGTGAGGACCAGCCCTGCACGTGGGCACCTGGCTGCCCCAGGGTGGGCAGGGGGGCTTGCAAAGGGTGTACCCCCACTCTTACCAACTTCTCAGCCGCCGTGTTGGTGATGAAGCGGGACCCGTGCCCGGGGCTGCCCATGCACTTCACCTTCACCCCTGGGGCAGAGGAGGGAGAGGGAGGCGTTGAGCAGAAAGCCCGGGGTGGCACCGATGCCGCAGCCCCTGGCACAGCCAGGAACCGGGTGGTGGGCACGCAGTTACTCACACCACGGGCTCTTTTCACCATAGAAGACGCTGTAGGTGTCGGACGGGCTGGCCAAACCTGTGGTGGACACCAAGAGGGGGTCAGCAGGGCATAGGGATGCCATAACATGCCCCCACCTGCTCTGTCCTGGAGGCATTTCCCCTCCAGGCTGGCACCATGTGGGTCACTGCCCAGGGGAAGGAGATCTCCAAGGGGGTTCCTGGAAGCCACACTGGGTGCCAGTGCCTGAGAGGTGATGCCAACAGGCAGAGGGGTGCATGCCAAAGGGAGACATGTCCCCATACCAGCCCTGCCACCACTCACCCTCGTCCAGGGCAAAGCCCACGTTGAGTGCTCGGAACTCAGGGCGCCGCACGAACAACTCCATGCCCTTGTGTCCACCCATCTCCTCATCTGCGGGGGAGAGCCTGGCATGGAGGGAGGAACAGGGGGACATTCCCTGGCCCACCACCCCCTGGTCCTCCTTTCACGCCCACCTGGGTGCTACTGGTGCACCTGATGTTCTTGGACATGGAAAGCCCTCCAGCCCCAAGCTAGGGGAGCTCAAAGTCCAGAAAGGCTGGCAGATGGATGCCTGGCTGTCATGCCATGGTGAAGTCCAGAGCATCACCAAACTGCCAGTCCCTTCTGTCTCCTGGAGAAGGGTCACCCTGGGGACTCACCAGGCACAAAGGTGAGGTGGATGGTGCGGGGAAAACACTTTCCCTCCGCCTTCAGCCTCCGGATGGCCTCAAGGTACCTGTGAGGAGAAGGTGGTGGCCTGGGCATCATGGAGGAGAGGGGCTGGTGTGCTCTGAGCCACCCCAGGGGAGGCCAAGGGACTCTGGGGATGGTGGCATTCTGTTCTGCATCACTCAGAGGCATCCCCATGCCGTGCCTGCCCAGTGGGCACAGAGCCCTCCACTCACTGGATGGAGACACACTTCATGTCCTGGGCACCCCGGGCATAGATGTTGCCTTGCGAGTCCTTAATAGCCTCGAAGGGTGGGTAGGTCCAGTGTTCCTGTGAGGAACAGCAGCCGTGATGGCAGAGGAGCGTGGTGGGCACCGGCTCCCGTTCACTGCCACCCCGAGTCCTCCCCACCATGCCCATCCCACCCCTTGCCCTGTCCCAGCACCTCAAAGACAGGCACGACGTCGGTGTGGGAGTTGAGGAGGATGGAGCGCAGGCGGGGGTTCGTCCCCTGCCAGGTCAGGACCAGCACCACGCAGCCTTGGCACACCTGTGGGGCAACGGCAGGATGTCACCAACATGCCAGCAGGGGATGGAGGAGCTGGGACCGGCAAGCTGGAGCCAAAAAGCATCAGCCTGGGGAAAGTTTTTTGTGATGCCACCTGCCAGGTGACCCTTTTCTCTGCTGGGAGAGGGCAGGCAGCAGGAGAAGGCATGGCTGCACCCCCCCAGAGCCAGACCTGGCCCAGGCATGGGTGCGAGCTCCCTGGCTGCAATTCAGACAGAGATGAACCCAGCGTCTTCCCCTGGTGCCCAGGAGTCCCCTGGGACAGACAGTGCCCAGCCGGAGGGACGTCCCCAGCCAACATGACCCTGCCAGGTCCCTGGCTAATCATAGCACAGGCGGCTGCAAAGGTCAGCGGGGAGCAGCCCGAACACCGGCTTAAGGAAAGGCTGAGGTCAGCAGAGGATTACAGGCAGAGGGGATTCACTCCTGCCCATCTCTGGGGCAGGGGAACAGCCTGGTCACTAAGGACCTGGGGATGGTTGGATGGATGGACGGACAGATGGACAGACCAGGGGGCTGCTCCTCGCCTTGCTCACCTCCACTTTCTGGCAAGCCAAACCCAAGTCGGTGCCAACACGCTCCAGAAACCGGACGGCCGCATCTGGGGAGGAGTGGGAATGCCTGGAGTTATGTTGGGATCTCCCTCCCCTCTCATCACAACCCCCCAGGGACCCCAAGGTTCTCTGGAGCTGCCAGGCCACGGAAAGAGATGACCAGCAAGGGCAGGTGGTGAGGGTCCTGTGCACAATAGGTCCCTTTGGGGCAAGGACTAGGGTAATGTGAAAAAATAAAAATGGAAAGGGGCGAGTTCAGGGGGGACAGGGCTCTGTAGGAGTTTTGGGAGCTCCTCACCAATAAAAAAATCTCAATGTACTTCAGTAGGAGGATGGAAACTTTAACAGAAGGAGACCTACACAAGGTTACCATCAGCATCTGTCCCAGAGCCAGGGCAGAGTGAAAAGGGGCACGGGGCTGGAGAAAGCAAACAGCAGCTCTGGGTGCACTCAAGATGTCCCTGCCCCAACCAAAGGTGCCAGCAGAGATAAGGCACAAACGTGTCCGCTCCTTAACACCACAATCAAAACAGCCCCAGCCGAGGACTTGGGCACCCGGGTCTAAAGCCTGGAGCTGTGAAGCCATGTTGCCGGATCCCCACGCGACTCCCCATCCCACGTCCCCATCCTCACCATAGTCAGGTTTGGGGTGGACGGTGTCGATCCTCAGGTACTCCCGGAAAAGTGTAACCGAGGGGTCCTCTGAGGCCCCCGCGCTCTTCCCGGGCTTCCCAGGTGCCATGTCAGACTGGGGACCGGGGCTGCAAAGGTCTGGGAGAAGAACAGGAATATGGTTAATCACCCACCGGCCCCTCCAAAGTCCGCCAACGAGCTCGGTCGTCACAGAAACCGTAGCAGGATGGGGCAAAGGTCTCCCCGGTGCGAGTCCTGGGACGCTGCCATCAAGGGAAAAGTGCCCCCCACCTCACTTGGGTACGGGGGCAGGACGGGGTGTGCCCCCCATGCCATCATTTCATTGTCCTCCCAAACTGCACATTCCTGCCCCAAATGTGGTGCCAAGGCAAGCTGTGATGCCCAGGCATGGGGCGAGGGGTGAGCCATGGGGTAGGGGTAGCTGGGGTTTAGGGGTCTAGTCAGGAGGAAAGGGGGGCAACAAGGTGGGGAAGGTGGTTATGGGGGGAAGAAGGGCGTATGGGGCAGGTGAACAGCGTGGTCAAGGTGGTTGGGGGTCCAGGGGGATGTGGGGGAGCACAGGGAAGGCAAGAAGCTGGTCTCAGGGGGTGCAGGTAAGGAAAAGGGTGGCAGACCAGGGGAAGCAGGGCAATGCGGGGTGCTTAGGGCTGCAGGGGGGTGCAAGAGGGATGAAGGGGAACACTGAGGGGGTATGGGAGTAGGGGGTGCAGAGGGGCTACGAGAGAGGGGTGGGGGGGACAGAGGTTAGGAGTGCAGGGGGGTTGAGGGATGCAGTGGCGAGAGGTGCAAAGGGTCAGAGGTGGGGTATAGGGGTACCGTGACTGGGGTGCAGGGGCACTGCAGTTGGGGTGCAGAGGGGGTGCAGGGGCACCATGGTTAGGGTTAGGGTACCATAGGTATTGGTGCAGGGGTACTGCGGTTAGGGGTGCAGAGGGTGGAAGG